CTTTACATTTATCTTTCTCAGCTTTTCCTAGTATATATTAATTTAACTGCCAAAACAGCAGGATCCTGCCAGGCATGGTGGTGCATGCCTATAAACACAGAACTTGGGAGGCTGAGGCAGGAGGATTGCCATGAGTTTGAGGCTAGCTTGGACTGCATAGTGAGGTCAAGCCCAAGCTGAACTATATAGTGAGACCCTGTCTCAAAAAAACAAAATCAACAACAAAACAGCAGCCCCTTTTGTCACAGCAATTTGTCTGTCAGCAACATAACATCTCATGTCTCATGTCACTGACTTTGAGCCAGTTATGTTAGATGGTATTGTCAGAGTTTGCACCTCAGAGATGGCACTCTGAGATTGGGTGTGTAGTGCTTTGGAGCACTGGTCCTGAAATGTCTCAAGCCTATTTACTAAGTTGTTATATTTCCTCTGTCTTCTTGAGATGTTGGCTTTGTATTTTAGTGATTTATATAACCAGGAGAAGTAATGGTACCATCCAGACTTAACAGTCACTCATATACTAGATGCTAGATCAGGTGGACTGCAGGCCTGACTCTAATGTACCTCTTTCTGAACAAAGCAGAAAATTTTAGTAAGCATGTAACACATAATCACATGATCTGTTCAGAAATATGAGCTGGTTAATTTCACAAGTGTTTAGGTTCCTAAAACCTAAATCTGTGTTATGTTAACAGTAGTAACTTGGTTTATGAACTTAATTCTTTCCGCAATTCTGGTTACAAACCTAATTGGATGAGAACTGAACCAACTTCCCCCATAAAGTCAACATTGAACCTAACCATTGAATTTAATTTGGTTCTTGTCCAATTCAGTTTACAACCAGAATTGTGGAAAGAATTAAGTCCATGAACCAAGGTACCGCTGTATTTATTTGAAATATTTCTTCTTTCTTCCATTTTCCATCTGTCCATCTACCCATCATCCTACTAGTAAGCAGATACTGTATTTATTGAACACTGATGGGCACTGTGATAGATCTTTGGTAGATTGTGATGATCAGAACACACAAAGTTCCTATCTTCTTGAACTCTATAATATAATTGGAAAGATGACATTTAAAAATAGGCATACAAATTTTTTATTGAATTACAAAATACTTTAAGTGCTTTAAAGGAAATGTACTAGGTACTGCAAGAGAATGAGCAGCAGGGAAGTACCTGTAGTCTCTTGTTACATCCTTAACATGTTCACAACAGGCCTGTAATTCATAGGTCTTGCTGCTGGGTAGCTCTGAACCACCAGTGGTACATACATGACTGTCCCATCAGGCTGCGTGGGACAGTTCCATTGGGTGGTACAAGCTGCCTGACAGCACGGTCCATCCCGTGGTACAAGCCACCCAATGGGACAGTCATGTTTGTACCACCGGTAGTTCAAGCTGGCAGAAACATGTTAAACCAGCTGGTTAAGCAGGTTCGGAAATCAGAAAGTCTCTATGAATATTTATTATACACTCCCACAGAGCTATACTCTTTAAGGAATAGTATAAAAGTAATTATAGACTTTGCTCTTGGGTAACATAACTTTTGTAGGGGGATCTACACATAAAACCAACTTGAAAATAGTGTTAATTTTTTTTTTTCTGGTATCGGGGATTGAACTGAGGACCTTGCACTTGTGAGGCAGGCACAGTGCCACTGTGCTAAATCCCTGGCCTTGAAAATAGTATTAAGACTATAGAGGTACCAAATTATGTGCTGGAACTTCAAAACCCATAGAGGTTAGAGGACATTGAGAAAGTTCCTGAAGGATGTCATAGTTGAGTTTAGGCATAAAGGAAAATTAGGATGCAATAGGTGCTGGTAGTAAAGAGGGAAGAATCACTTGTTTAAATCAAGAAGAGGAAATCTTGACTGTAAGTGGAAATATAGAAGCCTGTTGGATGAGGGGTCTTGGCTCAGTTAAAAAAGTAAAAAAGCTTTATTTACCTATTTGTTTGGTTTGAATTTGCTATTACTTAACCTACATCATCCAAACCAGAACCCTTTTGAAAGTAAAAGGAGCCTTGTCCTTGCCAAATTAAGGTGTGTAGTCGTTTTGCTTTAATGTAACCAAAATAAAGAGCCTTGTCCCCACAATGGATGGGAGCATGACGCATATAGCTACTTTCTCTGTCCTGTAGTCTATGAATTTGCCCATAGTTTATTTTCTTGATTTGACTTGCTGATATTTCTGGTTGTTGAAACCTAGACTGGGTCTCAGCTGTCTCACAGGGAAATAATCTGGATAGTTTGAGGACAGTCCCAGCACATTTTAAAAAAGTACTACTATCTAGTGTATATTATTGGAGATTCCTTGCCAAGAAGCGACCTATGGCAGTTTTGTGATTTGAACAGATTTAAGAATTCCAAATATCAGTGAACAGGTGAAGAAACTTATTTAAAGTTATAGTTAACAGTAATTTATTGTATTTTTCAAAATAACTAGAAGAATTTTAAATGTTCCAATACAAAGAAATGATAAATGTTTGGGCTGGTGGATATGCCAAATTGCCTTGATATGATCATTACACCTTATGTACAAGTTTTGAAGTATACCATCAGTATGTGTAATTATCCCAACTAAAAATTAAAATAATTTTATTAAAATTATTGTAAGATAAGACCTTTGGTGTTAGACTCAGAGGAGTATTTACGAAGTAAGGCTAAAGAACTCTTTTGGGAGAACACTCATACACTTCTTTTCCTAAATGGCCTTTTCTTTCACTTATTGGAGTCCCAGAGACCCCAGATCCCATTAACTTGCAAGAAGATCCAGGGATGGGCTGGGGATTTAGTTCAGTGGCACGGGACCCACCTGGCAAGCACAAGGTCCTGAGTTCGATACCCAGTACAAAAACAAAACAAGAAGATCTACGGATAAGATCTCAAAAACCAGATTTTGGTTTCTACTCATGCATAACTGATTCCAGAGCCACAACTTCCTGTCTTTGAATTTGTGGTGTTTGTATCTGGCAAAATTTTTGGAGGATTATGAGACTCCCAGAATGTGAAGTCTAAACTAGTTGACAGTATCACTTTTTAAACCAAACACATTTGTCACTATGGCCATCTCATATTAAATAGTTTCTAAAATGAGAGGATTTTTTTTCTTCAAACCAAAATATAATTATTACTTATATCAGATAGCTTAACAAGTGGGTGGAGTAATTCCTACTCTGAGAGTCCTCAGAGAGGAGTGAAGGGAGAGTGTTGCAATAAATCACCAGCTCAGTGGTGGGTTCCTTTGTAAGTGTGGTGAGAATGCCGGGCAGTGGGAGCCTGGTGGGAAATGCCTGTCCAGGATGTTGGAGTTGGCCTCCTGAGTAGCAGGGCCTGTTTGTAGCTTTGAAAAAAGTTGAGAGGCCATGCTACTGCTTTGCACAGCCTCTTTCCACCCACTGTTTCCTTCTTTATTATAGGGTCCCTTTTGTCTTGCTTGTTTTGCTTTCACTATAGATTTTGGATTGTGAGATTTTAGTGTTTCATTTTTGGAGCACATTAGCCTCATCTAACTGCATTTTAGGCTTACTTGATCAGAAGTTTGAGACAATTTGGGGGAATTTATACAGGACAAAATTTCAAAGCCATCCACATTTATAATTACAGGTGAAGAGCAGATGCAAGAAAGGAGTTAGAAGTTAAACCCTTCAGCTATATGGTAGGAGCAGGGCCTTTTTCTAGTCAAAGGACCTCCAGAGCAGCAAGGTGAATACTGTGTTGATGTGTTGCTTATGGTTTTTTTGTGTCCAGAACAGGATTCACACTGGCTACTGAACTTTAGCTACTTGGGAGAATTTTTACTGAGGCCATAGCTTTCCTTGTAACCTCCGTGAAGTGAATCTAACAACTACAAGGCCTAAAGAATCCATGGTTCTCTGGATGTGGTGGCACATGCCTGTAATTCCAGCACTCTGGGAGGCTGAGGCAGGATGACTGCAAGTTCAAGCCCAGGCTGGGAAACAGTGACTTAGTGAGAATAAATGGTGGAATAAATGGTGTAAAATGTAAATTAGTTGGAAGCTTATATTCTACTCATTCAAACTTAGTGAAATAAAACAACAACAACAGTTCATTGTTGTTTTCTCTCATGGTTCTGGGGAGTTCACTGGGCGCAACTAGCCCACTCTTACTCAGCCTCTTATGCATTGGTCATCAAGTGAAAGCCAGTGCTGGAGGCATCTCAAAGGCTGTCTCAGTCCCTTGTTTGGCAGCTGACACTGGCAGTTGGAACATCTACCTACATGTGGCTTCTCCATATGACTTGAGCTCTCTTGCGGCATGTTTGCTGGCTTCCATTGGAAAGTATCTCAAAAGCCATACAGCTTTTTATGACCTAGCCTCACAAAGCATGCCCCCTCCTATTGGATGGAAGCAAGCCACATGAATAGCCCATGCCCAAGAGAGAAGAATTTAAAATTCCCCTATTTATGGGAGAAGTGTCAAAGAATTATGGACATGTTTTAAAATCATCACAGCTATTTTAATGCTATTATCTTTCCAAATTAAATAATTTTTCCTTTTAGAGAGGATTTCTTATAGAACAGACATATGGTGTACAAAATAATCCAGCATGCTGTTTCTGCCTGAAGCTTCTTGCTACCCAGGTGGAAAGGGAGACTATCTCCCATGGCAGAATTTGGTTGTAGGCCAACAATTTGACATGCTTCAGATGGTATTCTGGCCCTTCGGGTAGAATTAGTTCTCCCTCCTGAACAGTAATTGAAATACTCTTGTCTTTTTACTACATGTCAATCATGGTAATGCCCTTATCTCCCTCACTGGTGCTAAGATTATGGAGAAACAGTAGGGAAAAGAGATCAGAGTTTTTGTACTTTTGTACTTCTTTTTTTTTTGTACCATGGATCCAACTCAAGACCTTGCACTTCTAAGGCAGGCGGCGGCACCTTTTGTACTTAGCAGCATATTGTTATCTCATGCTTTCTGTTTCATTCTCTATCAGTTTGAAGCCTTTCTTTTTTTTTTTTTTCTTCTCCCCAGATACTTTCCTCAGACCTTCATCTGGCAGAGCTATCCCAGGACAGACTTGGCTTTAAGACACATTGGTATAAAGAACATTATATTTTTATTCAGCTGCTTAATCTTTGAGACCTGCTGACACTTTAGGAAGAATAAAAAGAATAAACCTTTTTTCATTCTCCTAAAGTGCAGGAATTCTGCTTTGTATTGTTGTAAAAAAAAGTTCTCTAGAAAGAGACCATCTATAGACCATTTGTGTTTTAAGTTTGTGCTATAGAATCTCAGCTTTAAAGAATGTGTACAGTGTTTCTGCCACTGTTTTTGCTAGACTGAGTGGCCCACTGGCATCATCAGAGGTCTTTGTAATAGGTTCCTTGAAAGTTAGAGCCACATCTAATTGTAATTCCTTACAACTCCCAACATATTATAGGATCTAAGAAAATATTATTTGCTATATTTCACGTTCTTAAAATTGCATTTATACTAGGATAAAAGAAGAAGAAAAAAGTGAAATAAGGATTTCTTCAAAAGCTTCTGGTATCCTTATTTGGTAAAATAAAGATCACTGAATTATTTTAAAATATACCCATTGTTTATTTCATCTCTATAAAGCTTTCCGGAGTCATCTACTTGACGTGGCCTCAAATGCTTCTTCTGTTTGTGACATAGAATTAGACCAGATGGGGTCCAAAGAGCAGGGGCAGAGACCCTCTTGAACACAGTTGGGCATCTTCTCCATAGGAGTGGTTAATGGAGTACATACTGCCTATGTCTCTCAATAGCTATCAGATGGGTGAAAGACTGGTGAAGAGCACTTTCCCAGCAATCATGAATGGAGGGACTCAAGGTCAGAAAACGGCCAGTTGCATAATAGCAATTCTTTCTCAATTACCTCATTCTGTATGCTTTTTTTTTCTGGTACTGGGGATCGAACTTGGCTTCTTGCTTTTGCAGGGCAGGCGGTGGAACCACTGAGCTAAATCCCCAGCCCCAGTTCCCTCATTCTGAATATTGGCTAAAGGTGACTACTGGTCAGGAAGTTATGATATGTGAGATGTTGGTCAGGGTCACCAATCAGCAGAATGAGTCACTCTGTATGCTAGTGATACAGTGCTATGATTCCACTTTGTGCCTCAGTCACTTCCTGATCATCATGGATCTGTGGAGATTACTCTGAATAGTCAAAACTGTAAATACCTTCTTTGCAGGGCCTGCTGTAGGTGCCTGCTGAAAAGAAAGTGTCATATTGATCAGATAAATGATTATGACTCAGCAAAATTCGTGTAAACTGGAACCTGGAGAAGTCACTTGACCTGGATGCCTGCTACCTCTCATGTGCACTGTGACATCTCATGTGCCACTGTGGTGTCCCCCTCCACTCCACATATACTATATTTAGTATATGTGCTGCTGAAGCGAGCACAACTCCACATATACTATAGGCCCCTACTTTGCTCCACCTGATGACTAAATTGGGAAGGAAACAGAAAGAACTTTATATTATTATTTTTTGTATTTTTTTCTTGTGGAAGATGAATATTGCAAGATGGGAGGGAGGTAATCTAGATATTCTGAGAGGGCATATTTGGGGATCAAACTCAGGACCTTGCACTTAGGAGGCAGGCGCAGTACCACTGAGCTAAATCCCTGGCCCTTGGCTTTCTTTTTTTTTTTATTCATTAAGTTTATTGGTACATTTTAGGTATACAATATAATAACATTCATCATTGGAAATTTGTACTTTCACATGATACATCTTGGTTCTTAATTTTTCCCCATTCCCTTGCCCTCCCTTCAACCCCTCCACCTCTCCCTATTTACAAAGACTTTGTTTCCGTTTTTTCCTTTTCTCATATTTATTCCTTTCCCTTCTTTCCTTTCCCTTACCCCTGTCATTTCAGCTACTTTATCTTTGACAAAAGGGCCAAATACTTTCACTGCAGGAAAGACAGCCTCCTTAACAAATGGTGCTGGGAAAACTGGCTATCTATATGCTGAAGATTGAACCTAGACTCCTATGTCTCACCATGCACTAAACTAAATCAAAATTGATCAAAAATCTAAATATTAAAAACAGAAACTCTTAAACAGCTGTCAGTTTTGCTTTTTGTTCAAGGCACCTTTCCTCTGCCTTTTTTTTTTTGTATCGGGGATCAAACTTGGGACCTTGTGCTTGTGAGGCAGGCAGCAGCACCACTGAGCTAAATCCCCAGCCCTGGCTTTCTTGATGTATCAAAGTCAGACCCATGTTTGTCCTCTACAAGATGGTTATCACATACCAATAATTCTTGGACTTTGAATTCCTCTTTAGGAGTAAGAACCCTTTCTTATTCATCATTGCATTCCTGGTGGCATTTAACCTTGTGGCATTGCTTGATGTGGTGCTCAGTTACTTGTGGTTGAACTAAATTAAATTGAACTTATATCTCATTTGTATAATATCTCTCCCTTGCTCTCTTCATCTCCTATCCATCCATCAATCCATTCTTTCAACATGCTTTTTTAGCATTTTTTTTGTTGTTGTTGCTTTACTTACATACTTTATTTTTTAATTAGTACATGTTAGCAGTATATAATGTTTACATTCATCCTAGGGAGCAGCTACGTGTACTTATATCTTCATTCTTTTTTTTTTTTTTTTTTGGTACCGTTGATTGAACTCAAGTTCTTGGGCTTGGGAGGCAGGCGATGGAACCACTGAGCTAAATCCCCGGTCCTATCTTAATTCTTTTTAATTCTGTGCTTGCTTCGGCAGCACATATACTAAAATTCTTTTTAATCGCCTTCCCTGCCCCTCCCTTCTCCCTCTTTCTGTCTCTAGATCCCCTTCCCACATTTTCATATTTTTCTGTTAGTTCATGTTTGCAACACATAATGATTACATTCATTGCAGGTATTCGGCACACATACACAGTACATCTTAATTCTTTCTGTGTACCCCCCTTCCCCCCACCCTCCATCTCTTGCTCTCTTTACCATTTGCAAAATGTCTATCTTTGTGTTTCTTTTTATTTGTCCTTTATTTTGCTCTATATTTTATTTATACTTCAGATTTCTCATATAAGAGAAACCATATGGTAAGGTTATGTGTCTGATTTATTTCATTTAACATTATGTTTTCAAGTTGCATCCATTTTCCTACAAATGACTCGTTTATCCTTCTTTATAGTCAAGTATAGTATTCTATTATGTATAGATACCACATTTTCTTTATCCATTCATCTGTTGATGGACATATAGGCTGCTTCCAAGATTTAACGGTTACAAATTGTGCTGCTATAAACATTGGTATGCATGTATTGCTGTAACAGGTCTTTAAGCATGGTATCAAGCATTTCTTTTTTTTAAAAGTAGCATTTTATTTATTTATTTGGTACTGGGGATTGAATTCAGGACCTTGAACTTGTGAGGCAGGCATGGTGCCACTGAGCTAAATTCCCGGCCCCAAACTTTTCTTAACGCCAGTCACATATTTAAATAAATAAAGCATACTTGGTATCTGAAATCTAGATGTGGAGGTGAAGGGACAGACAATAAACAAGTTAACCAACAAATAAAAATTACAAATTTTGAAGAGTGTAATAAAAATGAGGTGCACCGAGAAAGAATAAGTGAAAGGAGGAAACCGTACATGCAGAGGCCCTAGGGTAGGAAGGAACTTGTATTTTTAAGGAACTGAAAGGAAGCTCTGTGGCAGGAGCATAGAGAGCAAGAAGGAAAATGATGCAAGGTGTGGCAGGTCAAGCAACAAGGGCTGGATCTCCTAGGGCTTTGTAGGCCATGAGAAGGAATTTGGGATTCATTCAGTCTGTTGCTAGTAGCTGCTAAGTGGATAGAGCATGTAAGCTGAGAAGCCTTAGGTTTGGTTATGGTTGAACAAGTTGCTTCTCTTGCTTGATACTTTGGATAGTAGGGTGAATAAAATGAAATGTTGTGTGTTAAATCCTTTTTCCACCCTTGTCCAGCCTTTAGAGTTTGACCTCTCTTCTGAATGTACATGTTATCATTTTGAACTTCTGTGTCAGTGATTTATTATTTAATATATGCTGTTATGACTACATGCCATTTATATTCTGTTTCTCTTAACTGGATCCTTAGTCCTTTGAGAATAGATTTATGTGTATACTTGGCCACCACACAAATCCTCATGTGTAGTAGGCACTCAGGGCTTTTGTTTGTTTAGTTTTTGTTTTTGAAGAATTCAAGGTTAATTTTATTGAAATAGCTGTCTATTAGATTTTGTTTTATGTTTTTAAATTAAATTTTATTTTATTTTATCCCATTCTCCCCAATAGTTTGTAAACATTTTTATAAATAATATATTTGATCTACTTTTTATATATTTTATACTTTTGTTAAATGGAAAACAAAGTAAGTTAAAGTCCTCTGCTATACTATAGGGCAGTAATGACAAACCTTTAAGAGCTTTCAATGACTCATCAATGAAATTGAAAGGGAAGCAATACTTCCAAATTCATTCCTGGAAGCAAGTGTTATTTTGATTCCAAAACCAGGGAAAGACCCAGACAAAAAAAAAGAACTACAGGCCAATCTCCCTAATGAACATAGATGCAAAAATCCTCAACAAGATACTGGCAAACAGAATACAGGCTTATCAAGAAGATCATACACCCTGACCAAGTCGGATTTATTCTAGGGATGCAAGGATGGTTCAACATTCATAAATCAATAAATGTAATACACTTTATTGGGGCAACCCACTTTCTGGTCCCCCTTCTGTCTCTCTTAGGCAGAAGCTTTCTCTCAATAAGTTTTTCCTACTCTTAAAAAAAAAAAAATAGAGGGGACCGGGCGCCTGAGGTACCGCGCTGTCCCTGGCCGCCCTCGCTCCCTGCTCCGCCGTCTCGTTTGCCGCCTTTCCACACGTGACCCTGGCGCTCTCCCGTCCAGCGCTCGCGTTCCGTACGGAGGACAGACGCGGGACAGGACGCACCTCGCGGTCTCATGTGCTTCCTCCCTCTGGCAGTCACCGCGCCACAGGCCGCGTTCCTGCCCCTCGGCAGAGAGCCCGCCGCCGCCATGTCTACCAGCGCACCGCTCAAATCGGTGGACTACGACGTGTTCG